CCTTATTTACTCGTTTTACATTGCTGATTTTACTGAGCATTATTCAGATCAGTGGTTGCAAGTGGTTGTTACCCAGTTTATAGGAAAAGCAAATCACCAGGAAGGTGAGTTTCAAAATGCAAAGTGGAAGGGATTTTAGAAAGCCTGGTCAACTGCTTATGACCAGACTAGCAGGAAAACTTCCCCTGGCTCTCCCAAATCCAACAGGCAAAATCCGAAAAGCTGGAAAGAATATCAGACTAAGAGCAGGGGGCAGACCACTATTACTTAGCTTGGAGGCAGCAGCCAGCAGCTTCTTGTTTTTGTTTTTTTTATTGTGCAGAAATGAACAGGAAAATACATACCAGGTGCACAACAGAGTTGTTATATAGTGAGTACCACCCATAACATCAGGTGTGTTTACCTGCATATCAGGTATAGAATGTGTAACCAGGTGAGCCAATTTATTAAAATGCAATGTGAAAAACGCAGACTTGGAAGCAGGTTAGTCGGCTCCGTTATCCTTCAGAGTTAGGGGCACACCCTTCTTCCTGTGTTGTGTCTTGCAAGAAAATGTAAGGTGTGTAGATTTAAATTGAGAAATGGCTGTGAGTGCGGACTGTTTCGGGAAGAACTCATGCAATGATTTTTCCCCAGCAGAGGTCCAATTTATGCCGCAGAAGAGGCTCATGCTAATAAACTGCTATTGACAAGTGTGATAGATGCAGCTAGGTACTTAGTGCTGGAGAGCAAAGTTGATTGCATTTTACAGTCTGTGTATTTCTCTGTTTATTGCTTGTGTTCTGTCATTAAGCAAACAGGTTCCTAATATAGCAAATCTCTCTCATCAGTAAAAGCAGGGGAGAAAAGAACCAGAAGCATCATTAATTATGACCATGTGGCTGCAGCCTGGACAGTCTGTTGCTATTGGATTGGGCAACTTCCTCCGGTTTAATTTTCTGGAGGTAGAGCAGAAACTGGGTTTTCTTATGCATGGAAGACAGTGGAGAAATGTTCCATACCCTGCTGGCTGACAGCTGCCTTCTGTACAGAAACGGGGTCCTGGGGCCGCGGATGCCAGGTGCTGACGGGTGCACGGCTAAGTCCCCGTCAACAGCGAGGCCCTGCTCCAAGGCCTGGGGACAGCCTCCTGGGGACACCCTCCTGTGGGCAGCGCACACGCAGCGGCCAAGGCGCGGCTGGCCGGGAGCTATTAATCCTGTGCCTGTCCTGCGTCCTGTGCGGGAAAGCCATTGGCACCAGGGCAGGCTTTCCACATGCTAATCACAGGGGTAAAAAGCAGGGGAGTCGCCAGTCTGACTCCAGGTAACAGGGGTTAAGAGCATCTAATGCATTAATTAACCCTCCAGTGCCGGGGACCCGCGAGGTCTGGCCCCGCAACGACTGTGCCGTGGAAATTCTATTATGTGACGTGCCTGGACTTGCCGATGGCTGCCAGTGACAGTTTCATGGAACTGCTGGACAGGCTCATGGAGCGCCTAACGAACAGGTTCCCTGGATTTCCAGAGGAACAGCAAGGCGACTGGTTTGGGGCGGTCCCTGGGATCTTTTTCATCTCCCTGTTTTCAAGATGAAAACCTCATGGTTCTGTGTTTTGATGGTGTCTCGCCCGGCTCCTCAGGTGTCTTCCCTTGTAACCATGTAACTGTGAATTAGCTGGTAGGAAACATTCTTTCCTAAAAGATTAAATCATTCATTTTTCAACAGGCTATAACAATGGTTAAAATTGACTTTTAGAAAAATGAACCTGTTCTCTTTTTTCCTCTCTCCTTTTTAAGAGAGATATTTTAAAGTCACACACTCTAAGGCTTTGTGTCTCAGGCCGGTGTCCTTGCAAATCCCGTTAAGGAGCAGGCTGCTTTGAGTGACCTTGAGCGCCATGCCCGCACTTCCATTGTGACACTTTGGTTTTACCAGTTCAGAACCTGGCAGTAAAAGGGGCTCTTTCAGTTTCTAACTTATATCTTACATGGTCTAAAAAATTTTTTAGAAACTGTTCTGGGACTGTCTCAATTTTCATCAACTGAGACAACATTTAAACTATGTAAATACTCTTTGCAAGAGTTGAAAGTGGGGGACACCTTGTAATTGGATGGTAGCATTTATCATACCAGACTAGCAGACAGTGATAGCTTGATGATGTTTTCAAAAATGCTCAGGATGAAAGCCTTTAAAATGTGGAAATAGCAGGTTGCTCGGGCTTCTAAAAGGGGCCTTATGAGCCAGATTTTCTTAGGAGTTCTCTGGAGCCTCATGGGTAGATTTCTGACCTCAGGGCTCACAGGCGGGGTTCAGACTGCACACAGGGCTGATAAGCATGCAGCCAGCCTGACATTCACAGGTCAAATGCAATCAGCCTACATGGACTGATTTAAATGCCCTGCTCCTCCATCCACAGTGTATGAGCCTCGCCGTCTTCCTGGAGTTGGTGGCGTTCTGTCTGTGCAGATCAGACTCACAGACCTTCCCTTGGGTCCCTGTTGGTTCAGATGGAGCCCCAGGGCTGTTCTGCTCAGGTCTGCACCAGACTACTCAGAGGGCAGTTGTGTGGATAAACTGTGTAAGCAGAGGACTTAAAGGCCTGTGTGTGGACCACTAAACCTCTGGAGTGCTCAGTGCTTCTGTGGGCTGGGAAGGTGTTTAACAGGAGAGAAGGCATCCTCCCAGAGCATCTGTAGGGCATTACTCGGCATTTCATCCAATTACACCAACCAGAATGGTCCTCAAGGCAAGATGAGCTTGGAGCTGCTGCCTCCAGATTTAGTGAAGCCGGGGAGGCTACAGGGAGACGAGGCCAGAGGGTGACCCTTTCTTTTCCACAGAGGCCAACAAGATGTCCACTTTGGGGGAAGATGAGCCCAGACACTGGACAGTCTTGGAACTGGTCTAAATGCATCTTCCTGTGTGACTGAACAGTTGTCCCAGCCACTCCCAGGTAGAGGGCAAGAGCCTGGGAAGTTAGACCTGTGCATGTCTACCTGGCCGTATGCCTATGATCCTGTACACAACTGAATGCTCAGTGACTAATGAGGACCAGAAACCTACCCATGCAGGTCCAGAATCCACTTAAGAAAACCTGTTAAGATAGGAGATTTTTCCAGTGTATTGGTGGAAGCCCCTTTCCAATCATGTAATAATGGGGGCGTTATACCAGTACTTCAGCAGACGTGACTAAGGCGTATAGCTGGTGAGTGTCTGGGGTGGTTTATACACCGAGGAGAACGCTGGGTGCTGGTGCTGATTATTCAGAGCCAGGTTGGAAGGAGGCCTGCTGTGCCCTTAGGGCCCTTAGAGGCCCCTGTGGGCGGTTCAGCTATGAGCACAAGTCCAGAAACAACTTGAAATTACAATGCGTCCCCGACCAGAAGTCAGGCTGCCTTCTCTGCACATTTGAGTGAACTTCTTAGTTATGCAAAGGCCCTCGGCAAAATTTTAGGCCGTTTGTAGATTACGGCCTAGAAAAGACAGGACAGAATGTGATGTTTTAGGGCCATTTTGGTGTCTGGGCACAATTCCAATTTGTTTCTTGAACAGAAATAAAACGTGAAGTTCTACACATTTTCTCTGCAGGTAATAATGCAATGGACCAGATTTGCTATTAATATAGATTAAAAATAGGCTTTGGAGTCAGGTTCAATTCCTCTTCCAATTTCCCCTCTGATCTTCTCATATGTAACATTTAGTGACCTTTGGACGGCCCGGGGATGCTTCCAGTGTCTTATACTTGATGTCTGTTTAAAGGTTTCTATTTCCGATTCACAGCTGGCATATGCAAATATAGGTAATGATAATGATGCCTCCCAAGTAGCATTATGGCCAATAAATTACTCCTTGGGTGAAGATGCTATCGTTTCAGCTAGCATGTCTTCAGTGAGTTGCAAAGTCTTCCTGCAGCAGGCGGCCTGGCCTGCCCGCGGCATTCCCATGGAGCTGCTTCCCCAGATACTCCTGATTCTCGTGTGATGCTGAACTGGGGCCATCCTGTTGGCAAGCGAGCTCTCTGACATTCAGTGCCACTGGGCTCCTATTTCGGTGGGTAGAGGGCACAAGTAAATTGCTGTGTGACCTTGGATAAGTCACTTACCTTCTCTGCACCTTAATTCTTTACCTTTACCAAACGAAGGCTGCACTAGGTCAGTTTTCAATGCAATTATTTGAGCAGTGGGACCTTTCCTTCAACTTAGTTCTCAGGGAGCCCAGTGGAGATTTGTTCCAGTTGGGAGGATTAGGGAACTTAAAGCTCTCACAGCTCAGCCCCCTTGCAACTGAGTTTTAAGAATGCTGGATCGGGGATCTGTCACACCCTGCACGATTCCTTGATTCCTCGAGGGGATCCGTCTGAAAGCATTCCTGTCCTGTACCTTAGCCACCAAGCAGTGAGCTAGTTTACTCCCCAGAGGGCAGCCCCATGAGCCCAGGGATGCTGTCCTTTTGTTCATATCACCATATGCCCAGCATTGGAAAATAGCTTGGTAAGTGTTGACTGGAGCTATGAATAAAGAAATGAACAAAGATTCAGGAGCATCTATCTCTATATTACAAATAAATGGGGATTTTTATTGCAACATTTTATATTTTTTTTACCTTGAAGGCACTTCCCAGAAATTAACATTCAGAAACATAAATGAGTTCAACATATAAATGACTTCAAACCTTTGTCCTTAGTAATCTCGTCCTGTGGTGCCTCTATGAGCCCCAGGGAGCTATTGAGCCTTTGAAATGGGGCAGGTCCGAATTGAGGCGTGCTGTGTCATATTTTAAAGACGTGGCATGGGAAAAAGAACGTAAAGTATCTCAATTTTTATATTGATTATACATGTTGAGATGACAAATATTGGATTAAATACTTATGCGGCTACTAGAAAATTTAAAACTACATATGGGCTCACATTTCTATCCATGGCACTGCCCTAGACAGTTGATTAATGGGTCATCAGTAATTACTCTTTGTATTATGAAAGAGTGGTTTTATGTGTGTGTGTGTGTTTGTCTCTCCCCAGGCACAGAAGCTGAAATCCAACGTGTCGGGCAGCACACACCTCTGTCTTTCCGATGTAAGTTGTGCTTCTTTCTGGGTCTCCTTGCATTATAGAGACAGAGCCTCTGGGCCAGGGTATGATGTGAGGGCTCAAAGACAACAAGGTTTTTGGTCCAGAAAAAATGTAAGGCCCCCTCCATGTCCCTCTGGCCTTGGAGCAAGGCACAGTCATCGGATCCCAGTGCACAAAGTTAGAGCTAAGTGTGGGAAAACCATTGTCCCAGTGCAACAGTCACATAATATCATCCGGCACAGAAAACTACTCTCACTGCTTACCCGATGTCCTCGTCTACAGTTCCTTTCATTGCCATAGCAACCCAGAGGTATCTGGGGCAGGCCATGGACTCTCCCTAATTTACAGGTGAGGAGACAGATGATCTGTCATGACCATGGCTCACTGTGGTGAGATGCAGTATAATGGGATTGAGCGGGTGCTGGGAGGGATGGGCTAATGCACCCTAGGGAAGGACAGCTGTGCTCACTGGGAGTCCAGAAGCCTGGGTCCTGGTTTGGACTCTCCTGCTGACCAGCAGGGCAGACGCCTTCATCTGTAAAATCTAGGGCTGAATGGCTAGTGGAGGGAAAGGCTACCGTGGCCCGCTCTGCTGGTCTCCAATGCCATCTGTGATCCATCTCTTTATGAACTGGTACTGGCCTGGGCAAGTTTTCCCAGGAGATTCTTCCTGACCTCCTTCCACGGTGGGGAGGGACAGCCAGCACCCCTCCCCAGTCAGTGGCACCCAGGAGAAGGGTTCCATGCCGTGTAGCTCTCTGGGGGACCTGGGCAGTGAATTGGGGAATGGCAGTTCACGTTTTTCCCCCCAAGTGGATTTTAAAATCTGTAACAGAGGAGCAAGAAAATGAATGTTGAACAGCAGATAGTCTATCAAAAGTGTCTAGTTATTGCCCGGATTCATGATGCTTCCCAAAAAAGTACACGTGGGTGAAATGGTAAAATCCCGGGCCAGCTTTGGTGAGCGAGAGCGCTAGTTAGCGGGTGGGAGGGCAATGTGTGGTTAGGCCCACTGTGACAGATGAATGCATGCGGTGGCTTACAATGAAACGGCTCTCTCTTACAGCGCGATTACGAAAAGGATGGTCTCGCTGGGGCGTCCAGCCACATACCCACAAAATCAATGGCTGCTCGTCCGAGCTGCGGTCTGGGCCCACGGCTGCTCCTGGTGGTAACCGCCTGGTCCATCCTGTTATCTTTGTCTTGGGCGGAAACGTCGTAGCTGCGTTTCAGAATCATCATGGACATGTACAGAGACAAAAACCAAGCTATCCGTTTCCTGTCCTCTTGTATATCTGAAATTCCAGTTTTAGGCGCTCTGTTGAGACATTGCTGAAACAGTTTCATCCAACGGAAACTTTTTTTTCTTTTTCTTTTTTATTTCTTTTAAGAAAGCTTCTTGTGACCCTTAGGGCTTCTTTGGGATACCCGATGCAGTGCTACATTCCAGACTCAGAAGGCTCTGGGGTCTGTTGTATTGTAAAGGGACAGTTTGTAAGTCTGGCTGTAAAGCAAACTGGGGCCATGTTTTTCATGATGATGATGATGATGATGATTTTAACCATTTAACTCTGGCCTTTACTAGCTAGCGAAGGAGTTAGTATCGCTCAAGAATCTTCCACATTTCACGCAGTGGCTTTGATTTCTGATGACATACCTGCAACCTAACAAGCTTTTGGTTCACAAATCAAAGACTCTCATCCAGAGAATCCTAATGGACTTTGTACAAACAAACTTGTACCGCTGTTCACCTTCCTGTACGTCCTGGCCTTTTCTGCGCTAACGTTTATGTTCTGTAAACAGCTCTGTGCTCTCCTACAAAACCAAAAGCAGGCCCTGTCACATCGCAATGTAGTGTCTGCCTTCTAGGGAAACAGTGGGCATGAGACCTCATGCGCCGCAGTCACTGGCGACACTCTCCTGAGCCTTCCCCAGAAGAGAAGCCCTTCAACTAACCGCCGTCGAGCAAGCTGCAGCGTCTAATCCCCTCTACGTGTACGAGGTTCTGTGTAGAAAAAGAACTTACTACTAAATGATTTCCACTATCGGCTTTCTATATTTTGAAAGTAATGACATCATCTCCATTTTTTACTGATGGTTTAATACGAATATGCGGAGCTCGTTTTCCTCTCCTAGGTAGCGTTGGCTCCGGCACTAACGTCCCGAATCCAGCCCTTCTGAGGCCGACTCGGAGCAGCCCCGTGCTTGGGCAGAAAGCTCTGCATCACGATGCTGGGGACAGGCAGGAGGACACGGAGCAGCCAGGCGTGGTCTGTTACCATTCCTTGAAATGCAAGCGTGCACACCTGCGAGGAAACCGGCGGCCACTCGTCCACGTCCTGCGATGGCTAATGGCACCTTTGCCATGGACGCAATCCAGTACCTTGCTTTTCACGTTGCCTGACGTAGGCAGCTTTGATTGGGACGGGATGGGGACATGCTGCCCTCTCTTCTGGAGCGGGTCCACGCCAGGGTGCAGAGTTCCCCTCCTAAGGATTGCGTTTCCTCCCGACCGTCGAGAGCAGTTAGGCCTGAAGGTCATCAGGAATCCGCCTGCATTCTGCTCTGCTTCCTCCACGATAGACCGTGACTGACTATGTGAGAAAGATAGGTTTGTGGGTCAAGGTCAACACTAGGCCTGCTGAGATGAGCTGGTGTGCAGATCAGGCTTCTGGATGTGGGGCGTCTGGCTTGTGAACTGCACGTCATCTCCCATCGTTGCCTCCCTTAAGTAGACCCTAAGGTGTGCCGTGGAAGCCTGGTTGGAGTGGCGAGATTCCGAATCTACAGGGATCGGGTGCTGGGAGCCGTGCTTCTCCAGAGCCGAGGAGAGGAGAGGAGAGCCCACCTTCGTGGAGTGCTGGGAACGTCATTTTTCTGGTCACTTCAGTAGAGGGGCTGGCGGAGGACCCCCGTGGTGCCCATGTCATACTGATCCCCTTTGCTCACTGATGTTTGCCTTGTAAGAATTAGTCGAGTTACTAGGGTGGAAAATCGATGGACTCCAAGATGAAGGCATAGTCTTTTAGCTCTGTTGGTGTTTGAAGTGCATTTATACCCAAATGTTAATAAACATAAATGGATAATACTAAGTACCAACTTTTTTTCCACGTCAGAATGGTTTCAAGGGAAATTCATCAAACAAATTTAATTAGCAGAAGGTTTCTTAAAGACTTACTTTGAATAAATCCATTGAATGTGTCGAAGTATTTGGAATTCCAGTAATCTATGAAAGCATAGCTCTTCCAAAGCATATTTGGTTTAATTAAGATATCCCTGTGTATCTCCACTGGACTAATTCATATGGGTCTGAGTCTATGTGATCTACTGTGGAAAGCTATTGATTCCTTCTGCAGTAAACAGCGGCTCTAATTAGCTTTCCGATGACCAAGAGGAGATGGGATTATCGGCACTGAGGGTACCTTCCGATGAAGAACGTGTGAATGTACAACACGTAGGTTAAATTTCGAAAAGCCTCATCTGTCACCAACCAAGATCTCATTTTCCTTCAGCGATAGAAGCATATTAGAGTTACCAAATTCTCAATTTGAAAATAAATTGCTGATTTAAATAACCGGGGGGAAGGATGTTCAGTGACAACCCATTAGAGGGATTCTTAGAAAATCACACCAAGCCCGTGTCCTGTTTCTGCCATTCGGTGTGACCTCAGTTTAACTCGGTGGCCCTGAAACACCATCATTTGCCCCAGGACTGGAGCAGGCAAGTGACTTAAATCTTTTACCTATCTGACTACTTTTTGCAGTGCTAAAAGCAAAAATTATCCACTACCTCTTGTCTTTCAGTCCCTGCATTTAGGGAACCACCCAATACAAGGGCTATCTGCTGAGGCTTGGGCCTCTGGCAGAAAGCATGTCATTGTAGTTGACTTTGACAAAGCAAAAACAGTCATTTCTGTCTGTGTAGACCATGACTCCCAGATCAAGCCTAGCCACGCACGCCCAGCTTATTTCAAAGAAAAAGAAAGGCAATTCTGCCAAACTGATTAGAAGCACATTTGTTCCACTTCGATGTCGACTATCTTTGGCTGATCTGTGTTTGTGTATCTTTTTAATAGAGCACAGGAAGGAAGAATTGCACAATAAAGAGAGGGAATTCAGAATGCCACCTGAATCTTTATTTTTCCACATGTAGGTTGAGAATTACATAGGTTATTTTTCATCAAGTTGAGCAAACTGTATCCAAAGTGTAATAGGAGTGTGGTTTCCATTAAAATGAATTTTTAAAAACACACACACAATTGTTTATCTTGTAGTTAAAAATGTCTTAGAAGCCCTGTGTTTGGAGTTCATCAAATACAGGGCAGGGCTCCTCCAGAGCTGTGTGGCCTTTGGTTTGGTCTGTATTAAGACTGTTCTTGTCCTTTGTACGCTCTGAGGATGGGTCCTGTCCAGCTGTGTCTGTCCCACTTCCCACCTGCCTCTTTGTACTCTTAAGTCAGACACACCCCAACACTCCATCTGCTGAGCGAGGGAAGGGGGGGAGCGGAAGCATTTCAAAGTGCTTGGGAAAAGATGTAAGACTGGTGGGAGTTAACACAATTAGCACATTCTTTTCTTAGATTCCAGCATAAATGTATTTCTGCTGTTGTTATTTACCAAAGAGCGGCCTTAGAGGAGCCGTCTTTTCAAAAATACATTTTCATTCACATAGTCAGACATGTGCTACTTATCTGAGTCTAAACTCTGGGCCAGAAAGGGCCTGCCTAAGTGAATTCACATTTTCTAATTCTCTTTCGATGCTGTTCTCGATCTCCTGAACTTGTACCCCTGTGATCTTTGTTGCTTCTGCTCTTTGATAAAGCAAATGAGACCATGGGAGACCCATCTTTTCCAGAAAGACCAAAGGCAATGACAACAGACGAGAGTCAATTATGAGTAGCCCAGGCTCTGTGCCAGCAGAAGGGCTGGTCTGCGCTGACCTGGGGGAGTTTGGAGAGATGAGGCAAATCGAGGTGCAACAAGAGGCCACCTGCCATGGGGGACTGGATCACACAGTCTGCTGATGTCCCTTACTGATCCAAGTAGGAACCTTGTCCTAACAAAAGAGCCGGAGTTCTTTGAATTAGACAAGAGTGCCTGTGCGGGAAGCAAGCCAGAGGTAATATCTGGATGACAGTGGTTTCTTTTTAGAAATTCTAAAGAGTAAAACAGCTGGGAATTGAGTTGGGCACCCTAAGAAGCTAAGTCCTTCTGTTACCCCTACGACAGGCATCTCGTACAGATAGGACACATCTTGAGTTTGACACAGCTTTTATTCACAAGTGGCCATTTGTTTGAAGTCTGTTGTCTAGAATTCTTCATGGGGGCTATTTCTCCGAAACACACTCTCGCTGCAGGGGCTAAAGTCTGCGGGTTTTGCCACACTGCCTCCGACCTGGGATGCATTTAGTGGGACACTTCATTTCACAAGGATAGTTGTGTTAAGGTAGTGGCTGATTCAGTTGTCTTTCATATTGATTACTGAAGCCCCCCCCCC